GGAAGAAAGCCCCGGTGTTGCAATAGTATGACGATAGAAAAAAGAAAAGATGCAATAAAAGATAAAATGAGTGATCAAGATATTTAAATCATGCGGAAACAAACAAAATTATGATTTATCCAGTACCGTGCATAGTTGTATTCTTTTTTTTTTATGACATGTTACACATCGTTTCCCATAGATTTTGACGCGCCGATTTTAAATCCGGTCGCAAAATTGATCTATCACTTGAAGATTTCTAAGAGAAGATCGATTTAACACTATAACCACAGAACCAGTCAAAATTATTGGTTTCAGTCTTTCCTTTTACAATCCCTGACATAGTAAAAATATTTTTGTCAGAAATTTCTATACGAACTTCTTCACATTCAAGTATATATTATAATAAAAATCGTAAGTTTAAATTAAATCCAGTCTTGTCATTGTTATAAAACACTGTACGTTAGTCGCGTTTACGGCTCGGTAGTTTTTTAGTGTCGAGCGAAAAAAAACTAACGCAATCGTGATTTCGTGAACCGGTCATTATTTCGTCCATTGTAGGAGGGACAGAGAACTGCAGCGAACGTGGAAAACACAATGTAAACAAGCCGCGCTTCTTTCGTTGGACGCGTAATACAGTGTAAGGCACTCGGCATCGACGATTTCAGGGAACAACAGCAAGAAACATTCCCGACGGTGTCTCGTCGATCCCGTCGAGAGGTCCAAGGAACGATTAACCGGGGTTCGTCGACGGCCACGAATCCTCGAAAATCTACCCACTACCGGCAGGAAAGAGCCGCGCGAGCGGCATAATAATTATAACGGCGACAGCACCTGCTGCGCCGCTGCGAAGTCGTTAGCTCGGCAAACATTTAAGTAACTCGGATGGCCGTGTTCGGATCGCTATAATATCCACTGCTTCCGTAATCCATTTGTGCGAGCCCTTCCACCGTGGGCTGCCTCCTCTTCCGCGCCCCTCTTCGCCGCTCCTCGCCGCCGAGCTTCTCTACCCCAGGCCCTGATGGCTTCTCCGACACACCGCTTCGCCCCTAAACCGCGCGCAGGCTGATTCACGCGACTACTCGAGGACCTTAAATCGCTCGTAAATTATCCGTTCGCCGAACAAACTGCGCAACTGTCATCCGCTACATCTTTACCTAGTTTTACGGGACATTGCGTTCATCCTGGCCACTCGAATGTATCCGATCGGTTCTACAAAAGTTCCTGCGGTTCTAACCTCTCTTTTAATTTCCCGCATCGAGTTACGTCCCCGGAGTAATTATTATCTAATATATTTGTTTGTTGTATTTTATGTTCATGATACAAGTTATCGAATATTATAGCGTTTAGTGTAATTATTATCTAATATATTTGTTTGTTATATTTTATGTTCATGTTACAAGTTATCGAATATTATAGCGTTTATGTATTTATCGAAAAATAAATTATATAACAAATTGAACACGTATCGAGAAAGAGTTTATTAATGTTCCTAAAAGTAAAATTATTTGTTTAACCTTTTGGTTTGTTACGTTAAGAATAAAATCTCGCATACATATAAGCAATGTTATATAATCCAGAGTTTGCAATTATTTAACGATGGATCAGAACGGATCCAAATCTTGCCATTCGTGAATTAAATCGTTTCCGTGAATTAAATCGTTTCTCGATCGTTTCCATCCAGTCGAAAGAGTATAGCACTGTTTTAAACACTTCGACTGTATTTGTTACCCATATGACGGCATTATTTGAGCAGATTTGAAAATTACGTTTCTTTTTATCCTAATCAATCAGATTGTTAACAGTTTATTTAGCGAGTTCTTTTAAAATCGACGGCTAGCTGTTGAGAAATCCTTTAAAAGATTGTTCGAAATCTACAATAATCTCATCTGTAATCCATCAAATTGTTTAGATTAATTAGAATGTAACAAGCTATTTTGAAATTGATATCTGAAGGAAAATTATCGACCCTCACATCTTCATCGTTTCGCTCTGTCAATCTTAGTTCCGAAGCCCTTTCAATTCTATCAATTCTGGTTAAAAACAAGGACAAATCTCGCTTGTTTTTCCACTAGTAAAACAAGGAAAGACAACCAAGGTCCATCGACTAGACGCTGCTAAAAACCGCGTAGCTTCGCCGATCTATTTTTAAGAACAATTTTGATTTATTTATTTTTCTCATTTAAGATCAATTTGTTCTATCGATCACACTGGGTGCCATTTCTTTGGAATTTTCTGGGTGCAAGTTGTTCTAGAATCATTGTAAAATGTGCGAAATTTATGAATTTCAGTTTCACGAGCATTTTAACCTAAACAGTAAAAGAAGTATTTCTGTAAAATTGCCACTTTCACAGCTAAGAGGTTAATATCAACGCGTGCCTCCAGCCCCTTTGTTCTGTTTTCTCGTGAAAACATCGTATCGCCGAGACAGCAGAGATTCTCGTGCGTCGAACTTTTTATTCGGCGACACGCGACAAGCCGACATCCTTGGTAATTAAAGTCAGCCGATCGAACGAATTAGCCGGTAGTACTACATGGGGATCGTACGGAATGCGAGGCGATGGGGTGCCATCGGCAAACAGATGCAGCGATACGCGCGCTTCCGGCTGGTGGTGTGCCCGTACGTTCGTACGCTCGTGCGCTTGTATAGATTCGGGGTGGGTTTGGGGTCGAGGTGTTCCTGCGATTACGGGCTCGTTAGCCACGGCCCATGGAGGACCCCGGCCTGTTTGTTTCTGGCTAATTTGACCGGGAAGCGGCGCGCTGCGCCAGAGAAGGAGAAACGCGAGCGTGTGCGGAAGCCGAAACGGCGATTTTTCGTCATTTCTATGGCGGCCCGATCGTTTCCCGCTCGTTTCCACGCTCATTACCACGCTCGTCCTCGCTCGATCCATTCTCGCGATTCATCCTAGCGATTCGTCCTTGCGATCCGTTCGCGTGATCCGTCGGACCGTTTCGTTTAACCTTTTAGGTACGGCTGAATTCTGCGCGAGGCTATTTCTCTGGACGGCAGAGTCTGATGTGTACTGTACAGAGTATCTGTATATTCTGTCTGTATATTGTTAAGATACAGTTATATTGTTAAGATAAGTCTGTATATTGTAAATCGATGCGAAGACGAAAGAAGTGTGAAACGATGCATACGAAGACGATTATTTGATTCGAACGATGACCGAGTGAGCTACTAGAGCAAGCCACTATAGTGGCGCGTCGTTCAGAGAGATGACATCNCCCTTTGTTCTGTTTTCTCGTGAAAACATCGTATCGCCGAGACAGCAGAGATTCTCGTGCGTCGAACTTTTTATTCGGCGACACGCGACAAGCCGACATCCTTGGTAATTAAAGTCAGCCGATCGAACGAATTAGCCGGTAGTACTACATGGGGATCGTACGGAATGCGAGGCGATGGGGTGCCATCGGCAAACAGATGCAGCGATACGCGCGCTTCCGGCTGGTGGTGTGCCCGTACGTTCGTACGCTCGTGCGCTTGTATAGATTCGGGGTGGGTTTGGGGTCGAGGTGTTCCTGCGATTACGGGCTCGTTAGCCACGGCCCATGGAGGACCCCGGCCTGTTTGTTTCTGGCTAATTTGACCGGGAAGCGGCGCGCTGCGCCAGAGAAGGAGAAACGCGAGCGTGTGCGGAAGCCGAAACGGCGATTTTTCGTCATTTCTATGGCGGCCCGATCGTTTCCCGCTCGTTTCCACGCTCATTACCACGCTCGTCCTCGCTCGATCCATTCTCGCGATTCATCCTAGCGATTCGTCCTTGCGATCCGTTCGCGTGATCCGTCGGACCGTTTCGTTTAACCTTTTAGGTACGGCTGAATTCTGCGCGAGGCTATTTCTCTGGACGGCAGAGTCTGATGTGTACTGTACAGAGTATCTGTATATTCTGTCTGTATATTGTTAAGATACAGTTATATTGTTAAGATAAGTCTGTATATTGTAAATCGATGCGAAGACGAAAGAAGTGTGAAACGATGCATACGAAGACGATTATTTGATTCGAACGATGACCGAGTGAGCTACTAGAGCAAGCCACTATAGTGGCGCGTCGTTCAGAGAGATGACATCCGCGGAAGCCACTATAGTGGCGCGTCGTGCCTAAAAGGTTAATCGCGTCGCGCCTCGTTTCCCTATGATTTAAAAATTCCGGCTGATCCGCGTGCGGGATCGATCGCGCGGCATCCGTGAAATCGCGGCGAAGTAAAAAAGGAACGCGGGAACAGGGTCCGCGAGCGGGATTCCCCGACTCGAGACAAATTGACTCGTCGCGCGTCGCCCGTGATTTCGTGCGAAGATAAACGGAGCGACCGCGTCCTGGGGATTGCGATCCACGCAGGGGCTCGGAGCGTGACGCGGAATGGGGAGGAGTTCACGGGATCGGGGGAGCACTCGATCGACTTACTATCGATGCTTAATAGTCGTTCGAATGTATTTCCACTTATCTCGGGCGCAGGGGAGACCGCCCCACGCGACGACTAATTTCCCCGATGATATATCGCGCCGCTCGTCCGCTCGTTCGCCGCGATCACGCGCGGCGACGTTTCCGGCGGACGTTGCGGGACGTTCTCTCGAGATCGACGCAGCTCCTTCTTCTTTCTTCCTCTTTTTCCTCTTCGTCTCTATCGGTCAAAGTCTTCAAGTTATGACTGTTTCCGTGAAAAATGAAACTTTCCATTAAAATCGCCATAATTTTGTTAAGACTGATCGCAGAACGATATTCCGATGGTTAAAACGAAGGTCTTGAAAGCACCTTTCGAATGATATTGTAAGATGTATCGAACAAAAATTTGTCAGGAAATGGAGCGGGATTGAGAAGGATGTGTTGAAAATGCATCTTTTTTGTCGCTTCAGCTTCGATTAAATTAAAGAGAAACTAATTAACGGGTCTCGTAATAAAACTCGCTCGAAAGATGGTTAAAAAACCTTGGAAATGATGCTCTATAGATCTCTGCACGATATTTTGTATTTCATAGAATTTTCGTGATAGGTAGGCAAAAGTCATTGGGCGGGAGTGTACATAAGAAGACCAAAGTATTTATAGTCGATTTACTATTTCAAAGATTGATTTTCCCCAGCTTTGCTAACTAGGTCCGCTCGCGTCCGATCGAGATTATCGGCCGGCGTTGAAAGAGGAGCGGTCGGGGCCCGTTCGTCCGTGACTTGCGGTCGCCGGAGCCGGCGAACGATCGCGGCGTTTGCGGTTTCAATGCTCTCCGAACGATTGGCCGGTCTTTCAATGAACACGCGCAATTTGTTGCGTCCGACGCGATCGTCGTTAAATCGGCGATCGTGTCGAGGACTTCGAAACTCGCGGTTCGCAGCCGTCAAATGGGAACGCTGCCGGCGATCTTCCAGCTTAGGACCACGATGATGCCGCAGATCTGGCTGGACACGAAGAACTGGTAGAACTCGGTGTCCCGGGCGAACGCCGTCAACACCAGCAGGACGGCCGAGTACAGCATCGCCTGGACCGCTCTACAGGAGCAGACCCTCTTCTTGAGACCGAGAAGACCCGTCAACCGCGACGCGGTCCCTTTCAAAACCAGGGACACGTTTTCGATGTTGGAACGCAACGAGTCCAGTCTTCTGGCGATCACCATGCTGCCCAGTTCGACGGTTTGAGTCTCTGCTTCCTGTTGTTGGCCTCCGGCGATGATACCTCGGTGGCGTCCAACGTCCAGTTCTTCATCCGGGATATCCGTTTGGACGGTGGCCACCTTTGATTTCATTTGATTTGATTAATTATTAATGGGCACAGTTTGGTTTCTTTCTAGTATAGATGAGAGATTCTACTCCGTCTACTTCTAATTTTACTCGTCGAGATTTAGAGCGATTCACACTTTTTACAGGACACTTCAGATTGTTAATGACAACAGCGACAACAGTATAGAAAGAGAAAAGTTTTATATATAAATTGACGATCCATATTTTTGGTCGTCCGAAGGTTATAGTACAGCGGGTCGTTGAATACATCTTTTCGTCAGAAATAGCCCCACGAAGGAAAAAAATAGGGGGCACCCACGAAATAGAGGGTGCCGACAAACAATAGTTTTTCAAATATGTTGTACTTCAATATGTAGCCGATTAAATATTGATTAACTTAAATTCGTGATTAATTAAACCGTGCCAAATTCTGTATATAAATAAATACATAGTGCGACAAATAAGTTTCGAGACTCGGACCATATCTCGGTAACTAATAGCGCCATCTATATTTTTGAACCTGCGTTTAAAAGCTATGACATTCCTCTTTCCGTTGGAATTAATTTTGGTTCAATCGATTGTTAAATAGCAAAGTTATAACAGTTCTCCATAAACAACTTTCTTGTCGATGTTGAAATATTACCAAGAATCGTTGCGTGTGAATCGTTCCAAAGAAGTCGTTGCAGCCGCCAGAAATGTTCCAAACTTTCTGAAATCAATTGTTACGGGCGATGAAACATGGTGCTTTCGGCACGACCCAGAAACCAAGCGTCAAAGTGCGGAATGGAAGTCGAAAGATTCGCCACAAGCCAAAAAAAACACGGAAAGTTCCATCAAAAATCAAGACAATAGATAGCAAAGGAATTATCCACAGGGAATTCGTTCCAATTGGCCAAACAATTACTGGCGCATATTATCTCGAAGTTTTAAAGCGTTCGATGGCCAGAATCCGTCGTATTCGACCCGAATATCGTGATCCATAGACCTGGTGTCTGTTGCACGATAATGCACCGAGTCACGCCTCGCTCGTTGTTCATCCATTTTTGGCTCGAAATCGAGTCAAATCGCGACTTCTCCCTATTCCCAACATTGAAATTGAAGTTCAAAGGATGTTCTTTTAACGACATTTCGACCATTGAAACAGCTACAACACGAGCGCTAGAGGCAATTCCACAAAATGAGCTGGAACACGCATTTGAATCACCGTTGAATCGCTGTAAGAAGCGTATCGAAACTGCAGGAGAATATTTTGAATAAAAAAATCGAAAAATATTCAAATACATCTTGTTTCAATGGCGCACCTTTAACGAATTATTTACGATCGGTTCGCTGACTCTGACCGGTCCGACGTCTCCGATCGGTTTGCCGTGTTCCGGTTGCGACGGCTTCGCGGACGGTTCGCCGCCGGTCGAGACGTCGCGATAGGCTGGCACGGTCGATTTCGGCAGGGTCCCGCAGGCATCGGAGACGTCCTCGGGACGCAGTCTCGCCCGGATGCACGGTGGAAGCTCCTCGAGCAGCGTCGCGACGTGTTGCAAGCAAACTCGTCGGCAATGGTCGCGCCTGTTCCTCGGATTGCACGGGCCCGGACACTCTGGCTGGCTCATTCTCGGCCGGATCGCGTGCTCGTTGGAAATTTCCGTAGCCACGGTGGTCCCGATTGATTTCCGCCGGGGAACAGTCGGCCGAGGGAGAGAGCAGCGCGTCCCCGAAGCCGTAGAAGACTCCTCGGCGTGCTCGGGCTTGTCCACGTCAACGAGGACCCGCCGAGAACGAGCATCTGCCGGCGCGTGCGCCTCCACGCTCGAGGTGTTGAAAACTTGACTGCATATAACGAGGTTCAAGGGTGACTCGCTCGCTCGTAACGAAGCTTGAAAGGGCCTGCGGCCGATCCTTTCGATCAAACCGACTGCGCCACGGAGATCGACAAGCCCGGCGCTGCGTCGGAATCGAGGATTCGCCGGCGACGACTATTCGTTCGAAAAGTTAGGCTCTCCTTTCGGGGACCCAGGACTCCGACCGCGAGCTACTTATTCTCGCGTTCTTCGAGGTTAGACGGAGAATTTTCTGATCGGTTCGCCAAGAAGTCGGTACGCGAGCAACTTCCGTCACTTCGATCGTCGCGTCGCGGCGCGTCGCGTCGATTCGAGTCGTCGTTTGTCGAGGTTCGAACGAAATCGCGGACACGGAGTGACAAGCAGCTGCTACAGTTCCGAGTTTATTTACGGAAAAAGCGTGCAACCGGCGGAAAGAACCGCGCAACTTATGTACATGTGCACGTCGATTCCGCGGCGGGAATTCAACTTCTAAAAGTTGAAACAGCATGCAGTTCTTGTTTGTTTACAGTTTTGCGGCAACAGTTTCGATTTGTTCGTAGACGCGATTTTCGCAGGAAAATACATCGTCCTGGCAGTGCGAACTGCAACGAACGATCACGCTTTTCAACATCGATTTCTTTTTCCGTTGAAACGACGTTGTGTACACAGTTACAGATCAGAATCTGATAATAATGCGGATCTTTCGATGTTATCGTAACTAGATTGCGGATTTGATGCGTTTGTGGTAAAAATGGGTGGGTGAAAGTGAAAACAGTAAGAAGATTAAAAGAAGCTGAGAATGTTAATTGCAACTTATTGCCTGTCTTGCGATCGATGCAGAAATTTTATATTACTTTATATTACATTTATATTACTTTCATACTTTTGTATGACGGAAATATGTGTTTCGAGTTAGCCGGTTTCAAAGTTTTATTTCATTAACCGTTCAACCGCGGGAAACATAGAAATTGCATTCTAAATATTTTGTAAAATTCAGCAACAGAAAGCGCTGAATTAAAACGATTAAAAATTAAAAATATCTTTGAATTATTTTCTTTCTTTCTTAGTTCTCTTTTTATATTCTTCATTAACCTAACCCTTAGCACGCGTTTGCAGCAAATGAAACTACCCTAATATTTCCTACCAAAAAAATCAAAACTAAAACTGTGGTGCCAATGCAACGAACACTTTGACTGCCACGCTACCACGTCAAAAATCGCGTAGACTCAAACTGTACCATTTAATTAATATTATTAAATTAAAATTGAAAAGTTAAGTTCTATAACATTGTAACAATCAATTACATTTTCAACAACTTTAATCCTAATCGAATTAAGATGTAATAGACCAACGTACAAATTAATGTTCAAGTCCGAGAGCAAATAAGCGCCGACGAGTGGCATGGCAGACAAAGATTTAATTTTAATATTTATAAAAGATCAAAAATTGTCGTCTTTTCTGCACGATCGTTGCGACGCGAGGTTAGTAGTAATTTACCGACACATGAGCCGTTTATTTTGAAATCGGCATAAGTCACTTTTTCAAAAAAATCGAGTTAATGGTAACACTAATTACAATCGAACGGTATCTTTTCATTTAAAAAAAAAAAGAAAACAAAATGTGACTTATGCCACTTTCAAAATAAACGGCTCGTATACGGTGCGAGATCTGTAGATTCGAAAGACGCGATAAAAAAAAATGATTACATTACCCAAGAAACGCCGATACGTATTCCAAAAAGAACTAATTTCACCGAACGCAAAAAGAAATACGCTCTAATTTGTCCCGACGTCGGCGCGTTCTCGCGTGTTTTCCAGACGAATGTTCCCCACCTGCCGGGTGTCGTTCAGCGGCTTAAAGTCCGAGGGCAAGTACGCGGTGCTGATGGACATCGTGCCGGTGGACAACAAGCGGTACCGATACGCGTATCACAGGAGCTGCTGGCTGGTCGCGGGCAAAGCGGATCCTCCGGCACCGGCCCGGCTCTACGTGCACCCGGACTCCCCGTTCACCGGGGATCAGCTCCGAAAGCAGGTGGTCTCGTTCGAGAAGGTTAAGCTGACGAACAACGACATGGACAAGCATGGCCAGGTAAGAGAGATCATCCCGATAGAACCGATTCCGACCGAAGAGGTCGCGCGCCGCGGACAGATCCTGCGGAGACCCTCTAATAGCAGTCACGAAACGAGGGTAAACGTTAGCGGTCGTTGGACGCCATTTTTCAGCACGATCCGCGAGGTACATGTGTCGTCCACGTGCGCGCGTAGTAAACCGAATAAAATGGCGACACAGTTGTCTCGTACGATACAGGGTGCCTACGCCAACACCGGCGTAGTCGTGCGTTTCTCTCGCGAACAGTAGACATTGGGACAAAATGAAAGTGGAGAAAGTTGTAGTTTTTTGCAAGCTGTGTATTGCTGTTTATTATTTCTTTTTATCTGTATTTATTTCTATCTTTTTTTTTCAGAAATGCAGGTGATTCTCAATTTGTTATAATCTGCGAATAATGCGGATATAAAGAAATTTACGGACGCTATTGCATTGCTTGCAAAGAACGATATTGATTTTCCTGATTTATTATTATTTGTAAGAGAAACGGTGGCTGGCGTTGACGTGAACACCCTGCGACATATGAACGGATTAGAATCATAGCGGCGTATGCCACATTTTCGAAAATTATGACTATTGATCTTAAAATATAGTCTGTACATGCTAAAATGTTAAAAAGACAAGCGAAATAAATAGCATAGTTATCGTAAATTGATGGAATCGTAAATTACCTTAACGATAAATTTGGTCGGTAAACCATAGACGCGTTAGTAAATAATAACACCCCTTGTTTCTCGCGATAAGTACAACGCGACTTACGCCACTGTGATTCTAACCCATTCATACAGTCGATACGTTCATTTATTGTTCTCTGTGACATAAAAATATCGGTCATCTTCCAAATAAAACGTAAATATATCCAGGCTGTTCATTTTATCCCTACTCATTGAAATATCTTCGTTATTTTTGGCTGTTATAAAAAAATGTGTCAGGACAACTTCGTTCGATTCAAAGCCAAAGATTTCATTTTTCAAGTATCGAAGAACGTTGCTGTTTCTTGCGCATCAACCCTTCATTTTTCTAACGCATCGCACGCACATCGAGACGAATTCAACGACCCCTGACACTGCGATCTCCAAATGACCTCGAACGAAAAAATTTTAATGTGCCGAAAACAGCGATGACCTTTACTTACTTGGAAAAAAACACGATCTTGAGAGAAAAAAAGAACACGAATCATAATTTTTTGATATCAGCAAAAGTAACGAAGATATTTCAATGTGTAGAACGAAATCAGCACCCTGTGCGTATTTATACTTTATTTATATCGATTCTATATTCTAAATGATTCTGCCCGTTGAACAAACACATTTATACATTCCATACATCCATACACCCGAGGTTAACCCTTTGCACTCGAGTGGTGACTCTGAGGCACCACTAAAATTTGTTATATCACCTTTTAACATAATTTTGATATCAACAAAGTTTAGATATAATAAATTGTTAAGAGTGTAACTGTTGCCCGAGTCCCAAGAATCAATTTCGTATGCATAAAATGCATTTTGTCGTATAAAATAGAAATTCTATAAGTTAGAAGAATGATCTTATATTTACAGTTAAAATAGCTTCGAGTGCAAAGGTTTAAACATGAAAGCAGCAATCCGAATCGCGAGGACGTCATTTCGTGACTCTTGTCAGACGGTCTCTAAAATCTTGCACCCCCTCCCGCCCCGCGGTGAACTCGAACTCGAGCGTATCGATCGTTGGAAGCAATCTCGTACCGTTTAAAACGACGACATCTCCGTCACTGGGTAAATCCGGCGCATTCGTTGTGTCCGGTGTCGGTCACCGACACTGACAGCGTCGCCGACAGGGACGACGGCGAGCTCCGACAGCGACACCGCGAGCATCGTCGTCGCGTCGTCGTCGTCGTCGTCGTCGTGGTGCAACCGTGAGCGTTATTTATCGGTAAATTCGCACGTTCGCGCGGCTTCACGTCGATCGGGTCCGGTGATTTGCGTAAGTTTCGCCGCGAAATAAGGCGGACCGTTTAACGAACGACCGGTGTCAACGGGCGTCGACGATGCTCACGGATTACAGTGTCGTTTTTCACGGCGCGGAATCGCGGCCGTTTCGCTCTGCTTCGAGGCACCGTGGACGACGTCGTTGACGAGATTTCGGGACGTTCGCGCGCATCGGGAATGGCCTCGTAAAACGGATACCCGGCGTTACCGGAGGGACACGTGGGCGTGGTTATCATCAACACCGCTCGTTAATCGTGGGCGTCGAAGCTGCCAGCCCGTGAAACGTAATATTCCATCGTCGCGTCGGCCGATCGATGACAAACCAATCTTTCCGCGCGCGTGTTTCGACCTTTCTCGCCTCGCGTCTCGCCTCGCCTCGCCGTCGTCGTTCCTCCGCGGGCCGCGTGTATCGCTTAATTACGGTCTCGCGTGGATTCGCGTCGAGGCGGAGTAACGCGGGTCTCTCGCGGATCGATGCCGCGAACTCGATTCGAAGAGCCGGGGAACACGTAGGTCGGTCGGTCCAGGATTACCGGCCGAACAAAACGAGGAGAACGGGGATTGTCTGTGCGTCGCGCGCGCGCGTGGAAAAGGCGCAGCGAACGGGAACAGTGCCAGAGTTTCTTTCTCACCGGGGCCCCCCCGGTGAAATATCACGGGGCCGGAGCAACTTAACACCATAAAAAGTGTAACTCTACGGCGGAAAGAGTGTGGATACTGTATCCGGAAAGATGCGGGAGAGGCGAGCCCGGCGAGAGGAGACCGGCGGCGAGCGAGGGGCGGCGGTGGAGGAGGAGGAGGAGGGAGGTAGAGAGGCGAGACAAGGGTCGCGCGAACCATCCACTCGCGGACTGGCCATAATGTTACGAGCATTATAGGCGGTTGGTAGTGGTGTCGTAGGTGGTGTGTATAGTAGGCACGACGGCGTGCCTATAAGCTAATAAATTGAATGGATGTTTGCCCGAAGCTTTTGTCATGATGATCACGAGTAGCCCACGCTTGGCCCGTTGAGCACCTTTTGAATCTCTCTACACGGCCTGTTCCTGGTGCTCTCGCTTCCTCCCTCTCCTTCGCGTTCTTTCCCTCTCTCTTTTTCACTTCCTTTATTCTCTCTCTATATATTCTCTCTTGATCTCACTTTCTCTCTCTCTCTCTCTCTCTCTCTTTCTCTTTATTCTCACTCTATATATCCTATCTCTTTATATTCTCTCTATCTCTTGCTCTCTTTCTCTTTATCCTCGCTCCGTATATTCTCTCTATCTCTTGCTCTCTTTCTCTTTATTTTCACTTCCTTATATTCTCTTTAGCTTTTGCTCTCTTTCTCTTTGTTCTCACTCCAGATGTTCTCTTTATATTTTCTGTATCTCTTGCTCTCTTTCTCTCTTTTTCTCTTTATTTTCACTCTATACGCGCTGTCTCTTACTCCTTATTTTCACTCTAATATCCTCTCTCTTTATATTCTCTTTATCTCTTGCTCTCTTTCTCTTTATTCTCACTCTACATATTCTTTCTCTTTATATTTTTTATATATTTTCTTTCTCCTTTACATCCACTATAGATCTTAATTTTTAATTTTATTTATATATACAGGTGAAAACCCATTTTTTACAATACAGAACTAAGAGCTAACATCAATATGATACAGAATCTGCGAATCAGAGCTTTAGGTGAACAAACTCGTTCTGAACTTTGCTATGTCAACTGCAAATAATGTCTAATTTGCCGCTATTATCGTTAAGAATCTGAAGTGTCCTGTAAATAGTGTCGGTCGCATTAAATCTCGATGAGTAGAACGAGGCTCTAAAGGGCAGCGCTGACCTAGCAAATCAAGGAGCAGGTGACGGTGACAAGCTAGGTGACGGTCGAATTACTGGTCAAATCATGGACAACTTTGTGCAACTTTGTCTCTCTCTCTCTTATTCTATATATTCTCTCTTTCCCTTGCTCTCTCTTTCTCTTTATTCTCACTGAATATATACTCTCTCTTTACATTCTCTCTCTCTCTCTCTCTCTCATTCCTATATATTCTCTCTTTCCCTTGCTCTCTCTTTCTCTTTATTCTCACTTAATATATACTCTCTTTTTACATTCTCTCTCTCTCTCTCTTTCATTCTATATATTCTCTCTTTCCCCTGCTCTCTCTTTCTCTTTATTCTCACTGAATATATACTCTCTCTTTACATTCTCTCTCTCTCTTTCCCTTGCTCTCTCTTTCTCTTTATTCTCACTTAATATATACTCTCTCTTTACATTCTCTCTCTCTCTCTCTCTCTCTCGCCGCTGTTCTCGCGAGAACCGTTTCGCTCCGCGTTCCGTTTGCCTCGGATTCGCAATCGCAGGCCGCGCTCGCAATCGCAATCGCACCCGTTCGCTCTCAGCCGTGTGCGGCCGCGCGTTATGCGGTCACGCGTTCGGAACGAACAGCCGCGGTTCGACCGAGCGTAATTAGGCGCTCGTTACCGCGAGATTCTCGCGCCGATTTAAACTTACGAGTCCGACGCGTCGGTAAAGACCCACCGCGGCGGCTCTATCGCGGCCCGATCTTCTCCGGCGTTCCCCACGGACGCGAAACTCGAGGATTTTCCGCGAGCGGAGCTGGACCGCGGCACTTCGGACGGAAACGAACGCTGTTCGCTGCGTTCACATTCTTTGAAACATTGTCCACGTTCTTTCTCTACAAAGAAAGCCTGCTCTACACACGGTGCTCCCGCGTTGCTACAATTATGGTTGATTCGCTCGTGAAACGCTCGTGCACGCATGCGTTTGGTAGACGGCGACTGCGTGTTGCCGGAAACCATGGTCAATCTTGTCTGGTCGAAAATGGAGGTACATACATATATCGTAGAAAGCGTATAACCTTCGCCGATTTTCCATGCGATTGTTAGCTTGTCTGGATAGTCTCTGTTTGATTTCTTTGGTGAAACGTAGAATTCTGATCCATAACAATCTCTGAACAAGCAAATTATTTATCTATTTGTTCATTGTACCGTCAAGAATATCCATTAGCGATAGATT